TTAGGGCACGCGGTACGGAGAACATTTTGAGCCTAAGGGTACAAGGATAATCTTCTGACATTTTCATAAGTCAAGCAAATGTGTCGACCAGGATAAATTGTAGGACACAGAACACCGCAAAACTACGGGATACGAACGAGTGATGTTTTGGTCACTCACTCCAGAAGGAAGAGGGGCGTGTACAAAAGGAAGCAGTCTATCGTAGCGGAGAAAAGTACTCATAAAGTACTTATAATGGTTAAGGGAGAGGGAATCGGAGCTTGACCACCGTTCGTCTAATTCTCGTTGGACTTTAGAGGATTCCTCAATTACCGGGGTTATACATCCCAGAATGACGTCGTCAGTGTAGTTACACCCGATGAAACTGGTTAGTATGAGCAGCCCATCAACATAGAGGGAGGGAATAGCTCCCTGTAAGTTACTACAATTGGTTGGGATCGCGGAAGATGTTTTGAAGCATGACTGCGTGAAGTGTATGCGGTTCGTAAAGTAAGCACGCATTACATCACCTGATTATAGGGGAACGCGGTTTCCGAACAGAAGGTTCAGTAGTAAGTATCTGTCAAGGTTCCCAAATACATTAAGATAATCAAGGAGTAGAAACCGCACAGTTGCATTTTTATCCGAGGTAGATGCAATGGAATGCACAAGATACGAAATGGTATCCAAAGTGGAGCGCTGTGACTTGTATGCAAACTATGTACTATCAGTCTTATGATCCCGTAGATTCGTGGAATTAGTAGTTTTACAAACATCTTCAGCAGCACGGAGGTGCAGGCTATTGGCCGATACTTCTTTGATTCCTTTTTAAGCGCAGGTGTTATTCCGACTGCTTTTCAGATGTCGGGAATGGTACCAGTCGTTAAACATCGGTCAAAAATCTCTGGCAGAAAAGACTGCAATGCATCATCACATCCTCACAAAGCGATTAGGGGACACATGGAATTAGGGTCATTAGCCTTGTTTGACATCAGTCTTGTGAGTTCCCTGTAAACATTGATGTGGTCAAATAAGGTGCGTGGGTCATTGCTGAGGAAGAAAGGTAGGGGGAACCCGTTTTATGATGATGAGTTAAATTCTGCGTTGAGCTTGCCCACATCAACAGCACGGCGTGGGCTACTGGAACACTTGCCGATAAGTTGTTTCAAGTGCCTCCACAGGTCACGTTAATCGTGGTTTCATAAAACGACTTCAATATATAGGCTACGTAACCTTTTCATCTGCCTTAATAGCCAATGATAGCCATTTGACACAAGCCGTTAGCTTTTATTTGTAAGCCTGTTCTATGTTACGCAGTGGTCTGAGTAGTAGAGCTGGAAATCTATCAATTTGAAGATAGATGGTATCAGTGCGTCAATAAAGATTGGAGCAGAGATTGCTATGCTCCGCGAGGTGCTCACATTGCACTGATAAAACCGCACTGATAAACATTGAGAGGTCGGTTGAATAGAGCTTCGAGTTGAGCCTTGCAATGTCTTGAGTTGAACAGTTTCACCGCGTATTGGTTCTGCTTCGCCATCTTGTCATCGCAACGTAGTTGGCCTTACAGTTGGTCACTGCGCATCTCTGCACCATGCTGTGGTTTGATTGTCCAAGCAGGGCACCTCTTTGTGTGGAAAACAAGTTAGGTTTGTCAGTGAAAACTACATCCAAACGGGTGTCGAATCTGGTAAGGAACTACACCAAGTCGGTTAGATCCATCAAGTTAATGAAGACTATGTCAGTAAAACAGAGCCTCTAACACCTTTAGGCGAATCGGCGAGTGAGAGCATCTCACAGATACAGTGCAGTTTTGAAGAATGGGAGTAGCTTTGCGTGGTATCGTTTCAATGGTGCCCAGGTGCCCAGCGATATACCGAAAATCGAGAGGTAAGTTCATGAGGATTCAGTGCGCTTCAGTAATCTTGTCGAGGTTACATGAATAATCCGTACAAATGACCGGTCTATGTCACTGAGTGGTTAACTACTCTAGCAGCTGCTTGATAATACGTCCTCCGAGAGAAGAGCAAGGAGTGCGATCTCTGATCGGGAGTTTGGTGAAACGAGTTTAGTTGTAGCCTTACATGTCTACGTCCGATAGGTTTCTATGAAGAAATCAGGGCAGAGAGAAATAATGACGCACTCAGAGCCGAGTGAGATGGCAAGACAATGTATGCTTACGTGGAACCGACTGTTTGAATAAGCGTCCAGGAAACACTGCGTGAAATCCGACGCTCATTGACTGCAGACGGGAATGGAGGCTATCTGCTCTGCACCCATTCTGACAACGCAGACCTCAAGTCTATCATCACTGTCTCAGTCAACTTCGAAAATGCATACCATTTTGCCGTTTTATCCTACTGCTGGCAAATGTAGAGCTTTCGCGAAAGTTGTTTCAAGCGCACATAAGTATGAGTCTCAGCGATAGAAATATTATAAAGTCCACGCACGTAGGTGACGTTCGTTTTGGGGTGTAACGGGAAGGCTTCATCACAAGGCAACAAAGGATTTTGATGTGTACTTCAGCGTTTTATGCTACAATACTTTAATACTACACCAGTTTTGTGGGAGATTGAGCTCACTGAATGACAGTTAGCTGGATCGGTGAATGAAACAAAGATAACATAAGTAGCTGGGTAAAAGGAACTGTGTTCGTTGAAGGGAACTCATCTTCTGCAAATTACTTCGATACATCACATTTCACGGCAACAGGACGTAAAATAAGATGATTTTAAACGTTTTTTTATCACTTCTGATGCCAAGAATTACAAAGAACTTTGTGTGTCGCAACTTTTAGTGAGATTGACATCAGAGTTTGGCTGTGTTCTGCTTCGTCCACAGTGTAGCAAGCTTCACTTAAAATCAGTGTCATAACAGTAAATGTTGAACTTTATGGTTGGGCCACCTTTTGTAAGCAAATAGTCATGTAAAACACCATTTTAGGCTCATCCACTAGGTCGACACAGGTCACTGTGAAAGACGGAGGTACAAAATTCTCTGATTCCAATAAGTAGATAACGTGTAGAACTTGCGGCACAGTCGCGCTGATGATCGTGCCGGATATAGGCAACGTAGAAGAGTCGCTCAGGTTTAGCGGATGCATCGATTGCCAGATAATAAACTTTCGCCAAATGATGGTTGGACGCAGGCCTTCTGCTGAACTCGAATCGCCTAATCTAGCTAGTCTTGTCCTTTGCACGGCTGCCAACCGGGTTGCCTGGATGCATATAGTTTGACCCAGCTGGACCAAACCCGAGGCTGTTAGTCGCTGATGTGGAACAAATGGCATTGGAAACGATGGAAATGTTGAACCCGGCCAATGCAACCCATATTCCTGGATTGTGCTTACGTTATCAACCATATCATCAGTTAGTCCCTTAGTTGGATTCGACGTACTTGCGTAGCTGTGTGATGCTGTCGCCTATGTCCACACAGTGCTCACACAGCTGATTCATTCAGCCACCTAGACACTCTATTTATCTCTCTGGAGTTACTGTCGTTCTTTTTCTGATACGTAAGTTAACGGTATCTGCTGCACTTTGGTACACGGATCACGGCACTGCAGGCTTCAGTATAAAGTGTACAATTGGAGAGAATGGCAAACCAAGTACTGAAGGGCATTCGAGGAAATCAGCCTGAGCTAGATGAAGTATTCGAAATGTTCTCGAAGTTCGACTATTGCGAGTCGGCGTAGCCCACCCCCGACAAACACTCCGGAGGGAGTACGTCATTTGGTTTACGCTTTGTAGCAACGAAGTATAAACTCCCGCTGTCCAGTCGCCAGTTCTCCGCTATGTGGCTACGGACATGAAACAGCTAGCTGGAGACATCTTGGCAGCTCATTATCATCCACGAAAGTGCGACTTTTGATGTAACCATGTAAATGCTACCCCAATAGGAAAACGGCTTTTGGAATCAAGGACCGCATACACAGAAGAATATCGAGGGACACTCAGTACGAACAGCGAATCTTGGCCTCATCTAATTAAAAATTCTAAGCGCAAAGCATTACTCACATCGCGCAGTGACAAGGTACCTTGTAGCGTTGACATCAGCAGTCGGATACTAGGCGCTATCGACTACGTTAGTTCAACTAGGCCTTCGAGACCGAGCAGGTGTCGCTTCCGTTACTTACCGCACGATTTCTTTAATCAGTTAAAGAGAAGGGATTATTTTTAACTGTTCGGTGTTTGAAGATGAAGGCTTCGAGGACTGCAGTTGTTACTCGATACTGTGAATTGTAACCATTACTGTGAGATGGAATGCTGTCGTCCGCCACGCTTTCCTGGTTGTGGTACACTCCACCCGCCTTGTGCTTGGCTCGATGCCCTACAGGATGTGGTAGGCAGTTGGAATGAATGGTGCGCAAACTGCGCTCTCCTAACCGGAGTGCCCGTGTAAAGTACACATGATGATGAGTTTGAGCTGGAGTTGATCATGACGCGTGGTATATAAATTTGCATAGACACCCCGCCTATATCGCTTTAATTTCTTGCAATGTTCGGTATGTATAAAGGGCAAGTTCATTGATCCTAGGTTGCTTGATTAATGTGCTGAGCCATATGCTAGGTATCTCTTGTCTTATTTCTACTCTCTTCCTCTTCCTAACCGTCGCATAATTTATGCTTGAATGATATTAGCTCTAAACGCTGCTATGTTCGTAGTAGTTTTTCCAGTAGAAAGTGTGGAATATTAACCTATTCCGTGAACTCGGGAATGCCTGCAACCGATGTCTACTAAAGTGTAACACAAGCGCATTCATTGCACATTTCAAAAATGATCGTTTTAGGCGTGCAATGCATGCTGGATGAATGCATCGCTTGCACTGGTCATCGCATGGGGACAGTGGACATGTGAATAATCTATTGGGTAGATTTGCACGAGAAACGCAGCTGCAATTGATAAGGTATGGAGCAGTTGACTGCAAGATCAGGCTCTCACGGTTCACTTGATGAGGGGGACACAGATGACTAGTTAGCTGACTAGTTAAGAGCAGGAAAACCTGTGTTAAAAAAGATAACCTACCTTTTATTGGTGATAACAGCTTGAGCACTTCCCAAGTCCTGTGGGTCGTCGCTAGTGCCGGAACTAGCTATTGTCTTGTTCTCCTCTTCTGCAAGCTGTTGATAAAATAATGCAGGTGTACAATGGGTTTAAATGTGTTCTATGTCAATATGATGCTCAGTCACTACCATCACGAATACTCTATTACCTTTTTACTGGTTTCAATCGAAATTACCGTACTTCATAATAAGGAATATAAAGCGCACAACCTAAACGGCTTAGAATTGCGTAATTGACTCATTTGATTATCACAGTGCACCCAAGAAGTGGCATGGTGATCAATATTTTCCTGACGGTAAAGTGACATCCGGAAAAACAAACATTCCATTACCCGTACATCACCTATTATCAGTGATTGCATCGAGTGTCATGGATGCTATGTACTCGTCGCTTAATAAGCTTTACTGCAAAACACAGCTAAATGTAGTGCTCGTATCATCCGTTTAATGGTGATACATTTTGAAGAAATAACCGACAGACCCACTCGGTAGTATGAGAAGGATTCTTTGCTGATAGACACAAGATATAGGTTGAGTAAATTAAGTTCCTTCTACCTGATTTTCTTCGGTGTTACAGACGTAGGCATAAGACCTGAATTCAACGGTTTACACGCGCTAGGGAGATGGCTTTTACAAATGACAACAAATGTCAAGTCCTTAAAGGCTTCCAGCGAAGAAAGATCTCGAACAGCACCAGTATGGTTGGAGAATATGACTTATAGTGTAATAGCTTCTTGGGATTATGTCTCGATATCATCCACTCAAAATTAAAATTTTCCGCAATGCTGGTGTTTGCAGTCGCAAGTGATTATGACTCAATACATTTTTCCTAAAATTTTCGTTTGTGGATAAGTGCATAAATCCATATAAATTGATTAGTGTAATTACAGCCTTGGTGCTAATAAGTCGAAAGATCGTGTGTCACTAGTTGACGTTGGCGCACAAGGTATTACCGATTCATTTATGACAAAACTCAAACAGGGAAACATACCTGATCTGCTAAACGCTTCTCTTCCTCTTCAGCCGCAGTTAGTTCTTGGGCGTTGGCAAGATTATCCACAGCGATAGCAAGGAAGACGTTCAGTAGTGTGTCTTGTGGTTGGAGTTAAGTTAGGAAAATCCGATTCGGCTGCGAAGTTCGGATCAAAAATCCTAGTATCTATTCATACGTTTAGCACCAGTGAATATTCAACTAACTCTCCTAGGTAGACCGGTAACTTGGTTGGGTCTGCAAAGCGTGTACATTAGATGTTATTCCGGTCGATGCGAATGTGCGTAGAACTCACTTGTTGTCTGAGTGAGCGTCAGCCAGGCGGACGTACGATGCGGTGGCAAGTTGGGGGTGGGGAACCAACGTCATGATACCATAGTAGTTCGAGTTTGGAAACGCAGGCCTAATTTGTGCACTTCCGTCACAGTAACTTAACAACTTGCCGCGCTGCTGTGTCTCATACCTCACAACGTGTCGGCGGAGGTACATTTCGCGACCGCGCATCCTTCGTCCGGCGATCCAGGATTCCCCTGATTTTTTTGCTCCTTCTCGTTGCCACACACACTACTCACCACTAGTGCGCCACAAGACGACCACTGTATACGGTCTTAACAGCCCACACGTCCATAAGGATACAGTGATTCAGTCCCAGCGTAATTCGCGCGAAACGAATCAAGGCAACCAGTTGCTTGTTACGTTTTCCGTTCTAATAACGTTCACCTGATTATGTCACATGTCATGAACAAAACATTCGAAATTATTTGAAAAGTGGACATATCACTACATGGTCCTTAGAATTCTCCAAAGCAGTGACGGTATAGGTTTCCGCGCTGCCAATGTTGATTCGCTGCGGTTGTTTTAGCAGACACCTAGCGGTTCACTAGAAAATTTCCCGCGTTTGCACAGGAAGGCCATCTGTTAACAGGGTGAACTCGCAGCGTAGGTGGTCGACTGGCATTGTTGAACTGGTTTTTTTCACTAATCCACAGAATCTTACTGAGACGTGTGATAACTAGCTGACAGTCTACTGAATGCGATGAATGATCAGTATTTGGATGTCACAAAAGCCAAGGATAATCACAGTGATGTTCTCCTCCTAGACTTACCATGTTAAAACTACTCACTCCCAGTTGATAACTCAGCCTTCCTTTTTACAGCAACTACGCGTTATCGTGAACTGCCTTAAGAGCTAACTTAGTCATGCCAGAAAAAACGCAACATTCTGAAAAGCTACTTTCCTGCACTGTGTCCCTTGCACATATCGCTACCGCCGACTCAGTTCATAAAATTCCGTGTAGTGCTCTCTTTTTTGACAGTCGTAACAGGCGTCTTCTGTGTTGAGTAATTTCCGCGGTCGGACCAAGGTACATATGTTGTACACAGTCTTTGAGACTGGTTTCATGGATGCGGTTGTCCCTTCTTTCTATAACAAGTTAGTGCTATAAAAGCACGACAGTAGAACACAGCTGTTTAAGGAAAAAAAACAATAAATTGCTCTCGTGTATAAATCCGCCGATTCTCTATCACGGTTCCTTTCTGGAGTGGAGCTCACACCGCCTCAATCCACATATTGGTATGCCGCAGAAGCGCACTTAGGAATTTCTGTGGAGAAATTTCCCCAATCCCCTTTATGCAATATTCACAAGGGTTTCACTGCCATTTTCTGAGCTGTTCTTGCATCCGCTTCTACACAAGTGGACTACTTTTAGGGAAACAAATATGTGTTAATCGTTTCGCATACCTGCAACGCATTCCCAAAAATGCAACTGTAACTTCAGCCGGTGTCCGGTTGAGTGTGAGGTCTAATTGCTTTGGAAATTAAGCGATTCCAGTACAATATGCAGTGGAAGTACTACACGCTACTGTTTCTATTGCTACTACTTCCAGTGCTGCTAGGATGACTGAACCCCATAATCCTGTTTGTAGCCACATTGGTTGAGTTTAAGTGAATACCTAAATCTGCCTCATCCTATTTTCCATCACGGAACGGATAAACATATAATTCATACCTCCATCGTCACGATCGTAGCCTCAGTTCTCAAAATATACCGCACCAATTAGGGAACGATAGAAACTTATTAACTACCGGTGAAGAATCCACCAGTTCAATTATGCATTTGGTTATGCTCGTTACGTTTGATAAAGGCGCCGAAAAGTTTGTTATGAACGAATTAAGATTCGTGCAAATAACCCACAGTTGTTGGGTTTTCAATCAGCACACATAAGAAACTCATACTTCACGTTGCTGAGCTTCCATAAATAAGACGGTTACATCAATAAGGGTTAAGTTTGTTCGCGACGGTCTTATTGATTCAAATAATGGTGTTCAACAAATACGTCAACCGTTTGCTCCCAAAGCTCATGAAAACTCGTGTCGTAAAGCCCTAAAGTTTTAGTAGATTCCTTAAATAAAGTTATTCGATAGCATGGGAATTGACTGGCGGCGCTTAGTTATCACTTGTGACCAATGTTGAATTGTGCTTTAGCTGGCCCGGGACCCGAGCACTTGATATACTTCAACAGGACTTGGGTTTCTACGAGAAGTTACCAGGGGTAGTACAGTCTTTGAGAATAAACACACGAGTACTCTAAACAGCACTCGGTTTGGTTAATCGAATCAATGGGGAGACGCACCGATTGCCATACCTGACAGCCTCAGTGACCAGCCGGACTGTGCCGCTTTTAATTACAGACGGAAGCCACTCAAGTACACGCATATTATCAACTCTGTCACGCTATGAGTAGCGGTATCCGATTCCCGAGTCGTCTGTGACTGTCGCCTTAATGCGAACAGCAACAGGACGCCAGTGTCTACACCCATATTCGGTGTAAACCAGGAAGAATAAGACCGGGAGGTATGTAGATGGGCGGCATGATTGATTCGGAGCCAGTCCACATCCCCTCTCCTGTAACCAGTACACAGAACAAACTGCTTATAATGCCATAAGATAATTGGCGGCTTAAGTTTGTTAAGCTCGTCGCTTGGTGATTGGGCTACCCTGTCCTCTGCACGGCAGTAACGTGTAAGTCAGTGGATAGTGAGCGGCGCTATATCACATCTAGTAACTTATTCACGACGGTCGTTGCCGTGCCCCGTAGCTCAGTGGTCTCAACCACGGACTGGCAACAGTCGAGTTGCGGTTTCGTGCCCTACCAAGGGTCCGATGGAATGCGCACTGCTGATGATTCCCGAAAGGATGAAACTCGCGTACAGTGCTTTTCCGGGCTTGTGGCGGCTGTCTGCGTGAGCCTAGATGTGACGAAATTCTACATATCATTCAGTTGTACAGGGAACAAGCATACCAGACGTACGCAACGCGGTGGCTGGGCCGTAGGCCGTTCCACTCTCTGAGCCTAGCACGGTCACGGAAACTGTGTACCCCATCTACCCCTGAGACAAGCAGCGGTCTTCTGGAACCAGTAATGGAGGTGGCAGTTTCCAACAGGTTAGCACCTTGACAACAGTTACATCAAGCGCAGCCAGACCATGAACGACAATCAACAAACACATAAAATGGGAGAAAATAAACACGCGGGTACGCGTACGGAACAACCGCAGCGATGACCTGGCGCACCTACCACAATGACCAAATTATTGACCTGAGCTAGTGAACGAAATCGGAAGCAGCGTACCTACCAAGCGCTGACACTTATCTAATCAACGTACTCGTCGCGTGCTCGATGTTGGCCCCTCGTCGCCACTTTGATGACTGACCAGACTGGTTTGACTGAGCCACACACGACCACAAGTGTTATAGCACCATGTGCTTGATATCGATCGCCTAAGCTCTGTCGGCGACTGTCGTTACCGTAACCGATGCCTTCCTTTCTGATGTAATAACCCTTTCTAGTGCATATGAGGAACGGTATTCATGATCTGGTCATGCCATTGGCGCCGTTGCATTGCCATTGCTTCTTAAGACTTAAAGTCAGTATTAGTTGGTAATATACTCACGTTGGTCATGTTCTCGGGGGCAGCTGTGGTTGGCAAGCCAGTTACTAACTGTAAAGCCTTACTCCCCTGAGCTTGGTATTTGGGAACTCCCAGTCAAGCTCTAGAGGGAACATCACCTCAGTGGCCTTTTATCTGCGGAGCACGACTCTGCGATCGTGTTCTCTGACCATGTTTCCTATGAAGAAGAGAGATTCCGTATAGGCTATCGGTTAAACAGTAAATTTAAAGTTGACCGAGTACTTTGCGTTGATGAAGAGTAATAAGCTCTTTCCAGTAGAAGACCCACTCACGGTCACCGGGTGCTTTTATTTTGACCGGCGATTTTGGATGTAAAATCGTGTCATGGAAGCAGATTTTATGTCACCTTGATTCTTATTCACGTTAGACCGAACCTCGTAGAATGACAAACATGCCAAAGCATGTAGCGTAGTAGTTTATGAGAGATGGAACAGATAAACTTACTAACCATGTCGGAGCATTGTAGGGATTCCAATCAGCTGTCAGTAGGTCTCTGGTTTACAGTGGAAATTTGAACCTGTCGAATGATAGAGCTAATATCCCAAACCCGGCAAATTTACTTGGTGAGTAGGTTACTTTTTGAAGGTAGTTCGATTGCTCAAAAAGAAAGGGAGCTACACGGTAAGTACATTCTATTTGGTATTTATCCTAACGATATGAGCCAGGGGAGCTGGATATATCACACCGTACTGTGTTCAGATCATGAAAGCCAAAGTAGATGAATACGGTCCGGCTCCTTACCTTTCTCTCTTGCTTTAGCTCGTGCCCCGTTAGCTGTCTCACGGGCTCAGCGTGTCTCCCAGTCGTTAGCGGGTTCCTGGGAGAAACGCTTTGTGAGTTCCAACTAGGAATGATACCAATTGCGTCCGCACCCACGCAATCAACAGTTGTATATCCGTGGTTACCGACTGAAATTCAGGCCCTAGGCCTTAGTCTTCCGTGGTAGCCGCATGGTCACCATCCAACACGACTCACAACAGTTAAGCCTTACGCACTGAATGACATGATGGATCGCGATTCTTTTGATGTGTGATGCGATGATAGCTAATCCGACAAGACTAAAAAAGAGTGTAAAGAAACAACAGGAATTTTAAAAGCTCGGCGGCCTTGTGGTCACCACACTGCGATCTAGTAAAAATCGACAAGCACATACGCCCTACCTCAGGGGTGTCCAAAGTCCAGCCCGCGAGCCCGCATTAACATTCCAACTGGCTCGCGGCCTCATCATGAAACAATAAATTCAAGCTGAATTTTTTCTGTACAGACGACATTAAATATACAGAGAATAAAGATATGAGAAAAGATTCCACAGCGTCGGATGCTGGCAAAAATCACTAGTGGAGTCTTGCATGATTGGAAATTTCATCTGCAATTTGCTAACGGTTGGAACTTTGATTGTGATTTCCGATCATTCAAATGACCTTTCATAGTGGTTGCGAGGACCGCTCATACACCGAACTATGTCCTCAAAAGACCCAGATTTGATGCTCACCCATACCCCCCAATGTACTTAGTAACTGTGGAATTCTCTCTATGCTAACACCCTTGTCTAGTGCTTCACCATTCCCTCACTGACGATACTTGACCTCATTTATTTTCGTCACATCGGTAACAGGCGTCCCATGCACTTAGTGTGATGTCGCTATCTTCACAGAATTGCAACATAGCTACCACTAGCTGAGTGATGCACAGATCATCAAACTGTCCAATCTATTTACTTGCATGTTTGCCTGTTGTTAGCGCTGTGCCCAGACCATCAATTATTGGCCGGTGCCCTTGCTAATACTTTCACACATTTATCGCGCCTTGTTCTCTAGCTGTCAGGTACGAAGAGAAAAAAAATCGTTGTGCAGTGGTAATTTGTCGTTGATAGTGATAAACCGGGACCCTGAACAATTGAGGTCTGCCCAATTTTACTTAACTGTATACATTTCAATAGTACCGTAGTTACTGCGATCCAAGCTTGTTCTATTTTTGGGATAATTGGATTTGCGTCATTCAACAATCAATGATGCAGTATTGTTTATTTTTAACCAGCTAGGAAGAGTCAACCTAGTACTTTTACTAAAGAAGTCTCAATTAAATAAGAAATAAAATAATGAGTTCTTTAACTTTTTAGATTTATCACTAGCTAAAGCTAGCCCGTAGTGAGCAAGGGATTTTTGGTGTACAGGTTATCACAGTCTAAATTTCCAGTGTGGTATAATACTCAACTTGTTTGGCTCGACATACTTGCATTTTAGCAAGAATCGTGTGAGGACGAGGCTGTGATTCACACCTACGTGATATCTTGCGTATCAAAACCAGTGTCATTGTTCATGACCTAACTAGTATACTGCAGTCAAGAACTCAGTTTCACCATTCGTACTAACAACTTACTAAAAATCTACGACAGATGACATTTTTGCTAGTATCTTGACCTCAGACTGAATATGGCCCGCCATATTTTTATCGCACAAAATGTGGTCTGCTTTGCGAAAACTTTGGACACCCCTACCCTACATGAATGCCTACGTTTAGTTGCAAGAGTTGCTGTCTGTTGTGCCCAAATATCTATGCACCTTCGCCTACGATAACAGTAACTGTAAGCGACACATTCACTTAGGGCAAGAGTGCCACATAGAAATTCCCGAGTCCAACCAAGAAAGGAAGCTGAGGCGTTAACTACGGTACTATTGGACAAAATAGAACCCGTGCAATATGTACATATCACAACAGTACCCTTTCAGTCCTGAAACAGCCGGGTCTTCGCCAGTTACACAATGTAACAACTTCACCGCACTTGCTACCGTGCAGCACAGAGTCCGAGAGAGGAATACAACGGCTCTATTCAATGGGTCCAAATCCTTATCCTATTGGTTCGCTGTAGGGCGCGTAGGGAGATACAATATGTCATTAAGTTCAAAGGGAATGCGAGTGACATGTCTTGGGGAGAATGTGTGATGAAGGGACAACAATGCCGGTGTGATCCTGGGTGGGGGAATGCATAATCCTCATGACGGGAGTAGAATGCACGTTGGTTGGGGAAATCCAGGGAGTAAGCAAACTAGTTAGCAGATGGTGCAAAGCAAATCCTAATATCTATCTTGCGTAATGTGTCTCGGATCGAATGTGGGATGAAAGAAGAACGAGCGCCCGTGTGTTTTTGGGGCAAGTAGCGCGGGGTGAGAGTGCACAGTCGTCACAGCGGGTATGAGATGAAAACAAATGCATGTTGAGTGTGAAGTTACAAGGTGAAAAACAAACAGATGGCGCGACTATCCCAAGCGAAATCCAGATATCCAGCTCGCGAATCGGCATGGTAATTTTTCCAGCTACAGTAACAGAATTAGTAAAGCTGCTTGTGTTAAACTATCACTGGGTAGATAACTGAGATTTACACCAGGACTTCGTGAATGTCGAAGTCTTCCCCTCAGGCGTTTTACTGACCACTATTATCACGACTATTAAAGTGGACAATATAACGTCATTACTGGTGTGAACTTCATAGTTAACAGATTTGAAAAAAGCATTGCGGATATTGTTAGACTGCTCAAGCTCGCCATGTGGGATTTGACGCCGAGCGCTCTCTTCAGTTGTTGGTGTTGTAACGCAATCGAAATCGTACTTGTTCGTTTAAACTAGCCGTTACTTTTTAGTGTGTTCTGGTTTTTGGTAATTTGATATGGAACAAATGCACAGTGAATCAGACGGTTTAGCCCTTGCTTCGTTTGTCCATTTGGAACGAGGACAATTGTTTATGGACAATCGAGCCGGTTGACTATTGTTCCTGTCGTCCTACTGAGGACACGCGTTTCCGTCCCGCTCGGTCATCCACCTATTCCGCTCGTGGGAGCATTGTCGTCAAATAACATGGTCGTATCCCGGGAGTTAATGCGGCTATGAATCGTTTGCTTATCTTCTTGCGGGATTCGTTTACAGACCGGATTTCTCCTCCGAATCTTCAACCTGTCCTGCCGGATCTGTTACAGCGTCATCCGGTGCAGAGCCCTGATAGTTGTCCGGTAGATATAACAGTCACTAGCCAACGTTAAAATCACTTCCTATTGCACAAAATCTTAATCATTAAGTGCGCCATCAGTAAGTCATTTTGATCATGACCAAGTAAACGGGCTTATTCTCACGACAGATTTGCATCTGTCAGTAATATGGAAGGTGTGAGGCATGCCACTTGAAGCGGCCGGCTTAGCTTCCGTTTGTTTATTGTGGGAGCTTTGTGCTGTGGAGGTGGTTTTATTACAACCCATCAAGCCCACGATCATCGACAATTTGTAAGTGTCGGTTAGGTTTCGACTTACTCGAGTGCGTGCAGTCTTTTTTGACAATTATGCAGCAACAGTTGTACAATATGCATTGACCTGACTGCCCAAGTTGATATTCGGCTAAGGTACCTACACCTTAACCAGCCAAGAATGGCAAAAGGAAACAGTAAACGAAGTTTTCGACAGACGTGGTACAGACATTCACAGACATGGCCTGTTAAGGTTTGACATGCGCTCCGTCGAGGTATATCTAAAAAGCCTTTCTAGGCTTTGCGTTAGTTAAAATTTCCCATATTCAGACTCAGTCAGACAGCCACTATACGTTCAGAAACGTAATGAACGATCATTTCATTCTTTCGGTAATCGTCAACAGTGCGCATTACATTTAACAACTGTGGGGCTCGAAACCACAACCACACACCTAAGAGCCTGTGGTCAAGACCACTGCTCTATGCGGGGAGATAAGGAGTGACAAGGACTAATACAATAGAGCCAATAATGAGGATTCTCGTGGTAAGGATTTCACCCCATGTACAGTAAAATCGAGTTAAAAATTATGATACGTATGCAAAAGCTAGACGATTCATTCTAGGCTAGGGGTCTACCGGAAACTTATCACGATTGGTGTGGTAAGAGAAATACACACATACGTTTAACTAGACAATTGTGTTAAGGTATACAGGTTACGGAAATCTTAGGGCAATCAGACATGTAATACCATAAGGTGTGTTTCGCTTACTGATGTTAGAAGCTTCGAGTAGAAAGATCATTTGTCTGGAGTAGTATAATCCTACGGACTTGCACATACGTTGAATCAACCTACTTCTTCTATCATATTTGAGTACATATCCAACAAGCCAAGGGATGTGCATCAACAGAAATTGCAAACTCATACACGCCGCGGTGTGTTCCAAGTTCACGGGGGTAAAGGATACAGTTACCGAAAAGCACCAGCAACACAAAATAGACACAATAAATGAAACCTCCGTTGCTGACACCTCCTTGTGAGCGTATCCCATCGTACATGATGGCGTTCCAATCTTCTCCAGTCAAAGTCTAGGTGGGGTAGGGAAGGTGTAAACGTTAGTGTGGGAATATGTAAGAAATTTACTACATTAAATGGGAGGGCTAAGTAGTTGACCTCGTTGTTTGTGGGGAAAACAAACAAATTGCTTATCAGTGAAATGTATGCAGCTCCAAGAACTTGCAGTTCAAACAGTTATGCACTAAAACGGACTGTCTTCATTAATCGACCCAATAGACCACTAGATTCCCATCAGTCATATTGGATTTGAAAGATTGACGTGCCATATGCGCATATCTCAACAACCAGTGGTATGGAAGGTAATCGAGACACACATCGGGTATGAAGATCGGTACCTCGGATATTTGTACTCTAGTGTCCTAGCTAGGGAATTATTTATCCTCTCATCCGACAGGACACGTATCGCATTCGCTGCTAAACTCTCCACCAACTGCCATCATATGATGTGAAGCAACTATAATGGTTAGACTGATCTTACAGTGCCACAGATCGCTGATCAAATTTTTGAATCTAATCGATATGAAGATCGTAGCATGCACAAACTAGACAATACCTAATCATGCTGTTGATAATTAAGCGACCTATGGAACGGATGGCTTTATTCGGGGCATCCGTCAGGTATGGTCAACAGATTCTGAGAAACACCGTCATCGCATTGACCACTCTACTAAGAGTTCTTCGTCCGACTTCCAGACTGTGTGCGTGTCCTACAGTGCCTGTCTTTTAGCCCTAAAGTACTGATGCTTGAAAAACCAGTAGTAAACCCCTATGTGGGCGTTCCAAGTTCATTCAATGTACTACTGATGATATTTTAAGTTACGAATGACCAGTTTCCCGCACTGTACTCTCAGCACGCTGATTTTGTAATTTGAGTCTGCATGGTGATACTAATTATTGTGATCAGGTGGAAGATTAGCCTGCAGAATAAATCGTACGTTTCAGATCACTGTGCACTGAATGCTCAACGGGTGGATAGTGACACTGACTCGTTTCACGTAGAATACGAAATCGTGAGTACCGCTGTAGTAATGGACAAATGTTCAGTGGGTACACTCAGTTGTTTTCACCGTACTTCCCGAAATCGACCAACAGTCATGCCGGGTGGTTCGTTTTTACGTTATCTCTGATAGGTTAAAGTACAACGAACAAAAATATGGTTATGGCGTTGCTCATTAAAAAGCATCAGATGTTCGCGTGTCTGAACAGTTCTTGATATTAGTTTATGAGCGCATTTCAATTCGTCAATAAGAACTTTTATGCATCCAGGATGGGTGAATATGCAACTGTAAGATACGTACACATTCACACATACACACATTCAGCAAGGTAGCAAAAGCAGTATGATACAAAGCAAACTAAAATGTGGGTTGCCGAAAGATAAACGCAAGTTCTTCACATCACCAATTGCCTAGTTAATTCCCGAAAGGTTTTGTTGAGGTCTAGCAAGAATCGCACAAGATGATGAATAACCGACGAACGTTAAGCTAATATTTTGGCATATAAGGACTTATGCTTCTGTCTAGTTGACAGTGCTGAAATACATTCCGATAATGTGCTAAAATGAGGGTGAGTTGTATCGCTAAGTATCGGATATCCTAACACATAGCTTTCAAGCAACGTGGAAACCTTTGGCTACTACTCACTCCTAAAATGTGACCAAACGGTTGAAAAACAAGAGATGTGTAAAGGTGAATGGAACTGAACTCGCCCAAACGCTTTGTTCAAAAACATGATGGACATGAATGCCCGTCGTGATCGGGACTTGTGCGGTTGGAGGCGCGTTAAATCTTCACCGGACAGATTCAACGGATGGGTTGGTATGCACTGAAGGCAGATTATTTGACTGGTCTTTTATCTTCTTCCTAACCTCCTGTTCATCACAAAACTGTAATTTCCATTGAAATATCCGCCGGGTTCATTTTTTGAACGGTTGATGGCGCTTCGTGATCATCGAATCAAGCTGGCAAGTCACCAAACCAGCATTCAAATATGAATTAAGTATGCACACAGTGGAACTAACATTTACTGCAGAGGAGATTTCGTCCGATCAAAAGTGAGAACTGCGATCTCCGCTGATTTACTTCCAGTTATAAAACATGGTGTGGATCGGCTACTAAGATGCGATGGGGACACTGTTTTAAGTTTGACCTATCACAGCATAAAGTGTACATTTTGCTTGTCTGATGAGTCACGGGTGCTGCGCCTGCGTTGACCGGCAGGTTGTGGTTAGAGCCACCGAGGCCAAATAGGTCCCCCTTTCTCCCTCGCCCGGACACCATATCCCAACCCTAAGACATCAGCGCTCGGCCCGCAGCCGAAAGGTCAAGGAGTCTGTCTAATAAGCTAGAGGTCGAGGTTTCGAGCCTGTGTACGGGACCGGGCAACCCCCGCAGTATTCTTACGTCATGCAATACTGCTGGTGGTTGCAAGGCAGCGAAGCGTCGGCATGATGTACTGCTGTCTATTATTGCCTCAGCAACTACCAGCAGCTTGTTGGAGTCATTAAGGTGATAGTGCTATCGGACGGGCGGATTACTTGTCAGTTTTTGTATCGGACCAAGCCAGACGAAGCCCTGGGATAAACCTCACGCATACGGCAACACGTGCACCTTCATGTAATTGTATTTGAACTACAAAATATAGCATGTCACCTTCACATGTGTAGGAGACATTATTGAGTAATGTTTCGGCTGTAGTAAATTAGGAATGCACCTTAACAGGTTTATTAGTTCACTGAGTTGCAGATTTGATTACAGACGCTTTACTTTCAATCGAGATGTTATCTTCAGTAAAATCACTTATAGCTTGTTGATACACACTGGGCTTCAGACAGATCTGGAGATGAATCAGTAGCGGCTAGCATGTTACCTACAATTATGCACTGAATATGTCAACTCGATTGTTAGTGAAATATCTACGACCAAACTGCCAGCTCGGGAAACAAAGCAAAAACACAAAGCATAGTGGACAAGAGGTATTTCGATTTATCGTGTGCCAATGTAGCGTCTAGTGTACTGCTGTGTACTGGTGCCTCTACAAACCCCCAAGCAACTTCAGTTAGTGGTAAAATCGATCAAAGCAAGAAGGCGTAAATGAAAGGAATGTGTTTTATTTAACTTAGCTTCAGTTTTAACGTTAATGTTTTAATAAACGGATGGCAAATTTAACTGGAAGAAGTTGCACCACGTGATCAGCGTGTGGCATCGGCGAAACTCGTTGGGCTGTGGTTTATCGAACCTGATGTGGTGTTCATCACGTGAAAGAGACAATCCAAACACGCCATAGGGATGACAGTCTCCTACGCTTTAGGTCAATCTTAGTACGAATCCACAACAAGTTACTCGTGGACTACCTACATCCTTTCGCGCACTGACGGGTATCCTGCTAAGGGATCGGCCTCGGTGTGAATGCCTCATGTGGTGCATGTAGCGATGGACAATTGTTATGGCCCATGACGCACAGCTTTTTTGATATAGGTTACAAACTACTCTTCATCAGTTTCAGGTGCAGGCCCCAGTGACCAAGCGGACTATTTCACCTCAATGGAAATCGCCGTGTACAGTGTGATTGTACGTCGCAAACCAAGGACCCAACGATTATCACATAATGACCCTCCAATCAGTCATTGACCGTTGTGCCAGGCGTTGCTCGTCCGGACTCTGAGGCTCAAGAGGAAGTTTTCCAAAGTAATATCTCAAATGGTCCCTGGTTCAAGGTTTGCTATCGCTACCTGATGAGATCAACTAACATCGAAACGAATCGTGGAGTGCGCTGTCTTCGGGCGGGCAACACCTAGTTTGATTAACCTTGCTTCAGTGGCTGAGGCCTGTTCGTGGGATTGAGTATAGAATCAGTTTTCTCGACAAACCGACAAACCTGACTCTAATGTTCGAGATAGGTAGCACCCGATCTAGTGGTATCATAATTGATGCAAATAAGCACTAAGAAAAGAGCGTTATGGAAGCGAACAGTAAGCATTTGTTATCCAATGGGTAGCAGTTCGTTTAATTTTCCAGCATATCTCAGAGTAACATGAATAAGCGTTTTGGCAAGGGTTTCAGACGCTTATGGTTGCATGTGCGTGGTTGTAACACCCGAGAAAACGATTGCAATGCGTGGCTTACCTGAAATACTGTCAGTAAGGCTTTGACGAATGTGTCAAAATTTTGGCCAGGCTTTCCGTCATCAAAATTGAACCTTGGAAAAGAGAATGATCCGTCACGACTGCGATATGAATGATTACGTAGTCGCTGCAAATAAAAACCTTTGCACACGCAAAACTAGCCTGACACTTCCCCCAGGCGTTCTAGGCGTTTCGCGCTTATGCATCCTTCAGAATTAAGAAATTTGTTCATGAAAGTTTTTTTTACTAAAGTTTCGTGGGTGTGTGTGTGTGTACACGCGAGACAAGCAGCGAATTATGCTGTTTTCAATCGCAGTCGAGTGGTTACTTTGACGGCAACTTATTATTCAGCTTCAGGGAATCACTTGCTTGCTCTGGTCACTTGCGCTCATATTGATGGAGTAGCTAATTTCGCCTGCCCAGAGGCATTCAGAATTCATCTATGAAGCTCCGGACTTAATGTATCATCCGCAACATGCGCACCTGTCAGTTGCTTGACATTTATCAGAAACAGTCTCACAGATGATCTATTGCATGGTACGGACTAAACACTTACCAACGGGGAGGACAGTTGAGTTTCAACTGTCACTCTACATGCTCGTCAATTATAGTAGCGTAAATTGCCTTCAGTGACGGACGAAGAGGACGACGGTTGCTGAATTAATGCTTATTGATCCATGTGAGAAACGCTCAGTTGCCGTGCGCTTTTCTGACTAGCGTTTCGTCTGTGTCAACGGTGTGAGGATTGGTTTTCAGAACAGCAATTGGGAACTTGTTGCTATCTGGTTTAATGGTCGTATCTCAACGAAATTCCCGGCATCCAACATACCACGATGCAGGATGTTAGAGATGTACAGTTGAGCAAGCATAGGAAGGGTGTGTTGAGTGCAGTGCGGTAAAAGTTCCAGCAAAGACCCGTCGATTACGTGGTCATGTTTCACTGCCAGCTGGGACCTAATATGCAGAAAGTACTGAATTTTATTAGTACTACATGGACGTCTGTTCACCAGCTTGGAATGCTAGTGCCCACATGTATGTTAGTCTATCGCCTAGATCCGCCTTATAGTCTATCGAAAACCGCGATAAAATGCGTTAATCTCACCATGGCACTTAAAATTCGGCTACCCTAGATGAATTACTTCACAACTTTTTTTGGGAATTTGTTGCTTTATTCATGGAAAACATTGCTAGTTGTGTGGACAGTAAGTGTCGAGGCTGGAGTCAGATCGATTCATTAATAGTGAAAAATGGTGTGCAATTGGTCAGATTGATAGGCGGATGCTCGATCACCTGTGCAACAGACAGCCAGTGGTTAATCCAAATTACTCGCATGACTTACTCTCCGCCGAATAATTGCATCCCCAACAGAGCGAAGATAAGCATGAACAGGAACAGGAGGAATAGCAAACTGAGAATACTCCGCATCGCGTTGAGCAAGGATAAAACAAGATTCCTTAGCGAGGCCCAATATCTGCGGTAGGGAAAAAAAGTCAGTCGATGCATACAGCCTGTTGCATACATTGACATGGTCATTCTCTGGATGCGACCGTATAAATTAACCTACAAATTATGATGATAATAGTTAGAACTTACTCCTTTTTCGGTAACTAGACAATTCGTGACGTTTGGTGAAATTACTATAACAACTATTACCGGATCAGCTACTACCGATCGCAATTTGAGGTTATCGAGAACAAGAAAGCCCTTGATGCCGGTAATGTTAAAAGCCAACTGCGAAAACGGATATTTGCAGAGCACATTTTCATTCTTCCATCTATGTCAGGAGTGACCAAACATTTTGCAAGTTGGGCCACAGTTTGTGAGGTAAAAATGTCAGGCCATATTCAGTCTGACATGAAGATAATAACAAAAATTACACATGTACGAATAAAGTTCAAGCCTGAATGTATTATTTCATGATGAGGCCGCAGGCCAGTTGAAATGTTAACGCGCGTTGCATTGGCCCGCAGGCCAGACTTTGATCTAGCTGATCTATGTGCCTCATATTGTAGGATAAATGAAGTGCAAAATTGCCTTCACCCCACCTGTGGGACAAACATTCCCCAGCTATAGACACCGTCGTCGTCCCTTACGTTTGCTTCCGAACTTATGAACACATCGCGTGCTGATTGCAGATTGATCGATGAGCAGAATGAAATATGTAAGTGCGTATGCATTCCCTTTAACTCAGCACGGTTTAACAAACCTTGTGGCATCACCACTGACAACGATAATAAGGCTATGCAATTCACTAGTCCGTAAACCACAGTCTTATGGAAAGTGACTATCATCCGTTTGGCATGTATGAAAGTAGAAGGAGAACGAGGCAGTAACTTTGTTTCTCAGCACCTCAAACTGCTTAGAAGTGCCAGGCATAACTTTGGAAACAAGCGTACTTCATCCATCTTTTCACAAAAGTTACCAGTTTGAAGCATCGGCACTGTCCCAACAGTAGAAAAAGCAACATTTTCAATAAACCAAGGAGTATGGGGAAGTCACAACGGAATAATTAATTGCAGCGAATTATTCAGCCGTTCGCTCCCAAGCACAAGTCTTTCATCGCAATGTGTCAACCCTATCGAGTATCATTTGGATAATCAAAGGTTCATTCAATAACATCGTCGATTTCCTTCGCTTGATCATCTTTTTCAGCTAACATTCTCCAGCCTCTCTGCAGCTGTCTTGTGAACGGGACCTCCGGTTATCCGTTGGCTTCAATGCTCAACACAGTCCTAGCTCCATGCTTAAGTACACATACTTAAATCCTCAGTTACGAATCAGATAAGTCCATACACTTATCTCGCCTTGCGGATTGGAGAGTATCATAGTTGAGATAAGGCGGTCTTTCCGTGAGCTTCTCAAGCATCTACATTCGACTAGGAGTATTGAATGAAAGCCGGCAGCTCACGTAGGATCGATAGGTAGCCGAGCGGTATCTAATATCAAGACAGGCCCAGACTAGTTGCGTGCAATCTCCAACGCCCCCCCCCCCCCAAGGTTGTTGAATATTATTAATTAGACTTAATTAGCCACGGTTTCCTGGACATTTATTTTTTGTGACAATTCTTAATTATGGGCATTCATTGTTTTTCGTTTGTTTCTTAACATTTGTTTAAACGCGTCCTTTCTCTAAGTTGATTGCTTGGCACATATCCTTCGTAATGCGTATTTGCTCAGTGTTCCCTTTCCGCTCATTCCGTTTTCTCGGACACGCCTGACTGATGCTTTTCTTGCTTTTCATTCACCTGCCTCTCCTATGTTTTTGGCTGGTTCAAAGGTGTTTTCGTAGCATTATTTCAATCACTACTGTACCCTATTTAAGCGAAGCTGATTTTTCGTGACAGATGGAAATGGGTGGTGCCCACACGAAAACTGCAAATTTCTATCGTATACACTACTGACCTGGTTCATCTCGTGTTCTCGTTGCGGTCCTGCGGCGCGAAACAGTTGACGACGATACAACAAGCCACGAACCGAGACCATTCGATCTATTGAACTTGTAAATAACAATACAAAATTCACCTTTCCCAAACCAAGAAGCGTTTCTCCGCGAAGTCCTCGAATGTCGTTTTTTGAATATAGTTTCAATCCGCGTTTAAAAGTTGGCCTATTGCCCATCACAGTTCCGTTTTGCATGAATCTCTTACGCACGAATGCCAGTACTGATCTTCAACACCTACAGCCGAAACAGTTTTGCCAGGTCTCTTAGAGGAACTTAGCTTTAATGAATCTAAGTGGTCATGTAGGTAATCGGACCATTAATTGTAAAGGTCAGTTGGTTGCTATCCGGTGTCATTATTTTCTGAAGCTCAACAAACGATGACCATCAGGACCGCCGACTTTACAGTGATTTCTAAAACCACCACATGAATTAATAACCATAACTGTTTTGAATGATTTATCCACGAGTTCAAAAGTAACAAACCTTGGTATTTACTTTTGACCAGTATTGATCTAATCACCAATGATGCACTAAATCGGCCGATGTATCTTTAAGCGTGAACTTCGACCTATAAAATGCTCTGATACCCGGTGGAACGAGTCTTGGCAACGATGCCCGACTCATCTACCCACATGGGTATTGATTTTAACGTACATCTACTACACTCTAGAGAATTAATGTGAGGTGGCCAGCCACAACATTCTGAACCCTTCGACCTTGTCGAATATGTGCTGTTATGCTCTACGGTGGCTGCACGTTGGTCTGATTTTTATGCATTAATCGTTTTAACCAACGCAGTGATTAAATGCAGTCTAAACTGGAAGGAATTAAGTGAGGTTAATGATAGGACTAAGCAAACACAGGCCAAATTTTCTTAACTTTACCGGAAACATTGTACAGGGATGGCAAGTATGTGAGCTTTTATGCAAGCGGACAGATATACAAAATTTCACTAATATAGACGTAGTCTCAAAATGTTGAATGTATACGATGGAATTTTCTCGCCTTTTGCCCGGTTCACTAACACAGATATGGCGTTAGTTTTGCCGCGATTTATCACTCGTGTTTGTGTGTCAAACTTACATCGGTGTATCAGTTGCCATTTCGTGTTATTGGCGAGCTCGTTTAAGCTACATTCATAGCAGTTTAATAAGATTCAAATGGTTAGTCCATTGTTAATGGCCAAGGTTACATTCCACGATAAATGTATAAATTTACCAACCTAGTGTTACGTACGGGTATTTCTTACACATGAACCGCGAATGTGATGCTTTGTGTCGTGCACACTCCACTTTCGATTATGATCCACCAGTAAGCCGTGTTTCCAACCTCTCCAGGAATCTTCCCAAATCTTTTAAGATTTGTTACCCTCTCCTGGAGAAGACGTCAATGAGTACCACACATCACTGAGAATTTACTCTTGAGAGCGCAATAGCGAATAAAAAGCGAATGAATTTGAGTAAAACTTCAGAGATCTTATTTTATCGTTAATTTAACAGGTGTGTTGACTTCAGCTGTACCAACCGCCTAGCCTGAGTGTGCAATTAGAACCACATAAATTTTCCAAAACATCATTCCGCACCACTTGGGCCATAGTTTAAGATTGGAAATAACATAATGTGATATTTTTCGGGCAGAGTTTAGCAAAGCTCTGCATCACTGGAAGCTGAGACTTTTATTTCGAATGCCCGATAGGCTAATTTCGCCCTTCGCAGTTGAGTCCACTGGTCAGATAGATGGCGAGATGGGGTGACGGCGAGTTGCGAACGTCCCATTGGCGAATAACAGCAAATTTTAAAGCATTGATTACTTAACATCAAAGGGGTACTAGCATTCATTCATACTTGTTTACGTTACCTGGTGATTTTGAATATCCGTAGTAACCGAATGCTTCGGAGAGCAGAGAATCCAAACGAATCCAACGGGTAGAATATTTGCCATATGATTTCGAAAAGACTCGCAATCACAACCTGCAAAAAGAATGAGGGAATTTCTCTTTGCAATTCCACCAGGTTGGGATTTCACTAAATTCATAATGCAGATGAATTGGTGTAGAAGAGTGGATCGTTTTGGAGAATTCTTCTGCATCTATGTTAGCTTATACAGTTGTTCGGTCATTGTTAACTGACACCTTTGGAAGTGTTGTGATTATTTGCCAATTGTATAGAACATTATGGAACTGAAAAGTGTCTGCTTAACGCTTTGAGTCCTGAATTAATTTACTCATAGCTGGACCAGAATCACAAACGTTTACTCCGAAGACTGTAGAGCAACAAATCGGAGTTCTGCTCCTTACTTAATTGTTAACAGCAGGCTATTTCATGTATGCGCTCGAGTACCGGAAGAAATGACGCTTGCGCTGAAGCAGTATTACAATTTAAACAAAGTGATACTTATAAGTACCGCCAGGACACAAAGGGTTAAAGAATCGACCTTGCACAACGTTTCCAGTGAAAGCCGTTAAGGTGTGCGTTTACGGTTTGGTGTTGGCTCTTCATGGCAAGCCGAATCCGTACCAAGGAAACTCAATGGACACTTTAACCTGTTACGAAAGACGCTCGGTGTTTCTACCCAACAGTCTTCCATAAGAGTTTAATGCATGCCAGCAAATCCAAGTAATGCACGAACTTTGTGTCGCTTTCTGTGAAGCAAGAGACTGACTAGTTTGTTTCGATTCATTTGGGGATATCAGTAATGAGTTGTTGGCCTTGTACTGATATTTCAGTTCATGAACGGCTTCAGGCACATGTGGTGAGATCTGTAGAAAACTATCAAAATATGAGACTCGCTGCAACCATACGAAATTACTGCTACCGTGCATTCGGTCAACCTACCACGGAAAAAGTCTGTTCATATAAACCGGCAACAGGATACCACCCTGCGATAGACGAATATGTCGCAAAATGGCATATATGCAACGACCAATTCGCCACTTCACCTGCAACTAAGCGCTACCCAGAGTAAAAAGCCCGCTGATATAGCTCAAATTAAGTAACCATTTCCTATAGTTTAGCACTGCCTGTGTAGAGGTGGGATGCCTTGGGGAATGATTGAAAACTTGTAGGTGAAAAATGGAAGCATTCTCATTTGCATTCTCTGTCCACAAGCCAATATTGGTTATTAGACCTCTTCCTGATTTCGCAGTATTCGACCCTAATAGTCCACAGGAAAGCTGGGACGTTTGTTTCTTTATTTGCAATGAATCAATGTTCCAACGCTATCGTAACTGCCCAGTTTTAGCTACTGCAGAAATCAAGTTCCCGGTGAGAAGCAATTACTACAATAAACTACGTAAGAGTATCGGTACAATGTGACTGGTGTTCATGAAAAGTCAGACAGAGGACTATTGTAGAATTGGACCTCATTGTTAGATCAGCGGAGAAACCCACGAACATACTACGGCCCAAGAAGTCTGAGGGAAAATTATGAGTTACCAAGGGTGATTAACAGAGTTTTGTGCACCAAGCAGGATGACCATTCAACTGGAACTCTCGTCATTAGAAGTGATATAGAAAAATAGTTCTACAACCCAAGCATAATTACAAGGAACAGTTTGAAGAAGCACAACTTGATCCATGAAGCAAAGTTTCGCATTAACAGGTGATAACGAGTCCTTTACTAGCCGAATGATGGAAATATCAGATTTAATCGAGATCCTGACAACAATCTGACCCCTGGATGGTATTCAAGAGAGGTGCTTACGATGAGCAATCCGGTACGGCCTGAAATAACAATGCAAATGACACAGCTTAAGACAGTTGGGCTTAACGAACTGTATTTAGTACTTCCGCCATTCTGCAATATACGATGGCATACGAAGTTAAATCACTGTTCAACCTACTGTGCCACTACTGGAAATTCTTACAGAATGCCACTGAATCCAACCACAGACACACAACGCTCATTCGGCTACACAGGATGGTGGATGGCAAGAGTCAGTAAGGTGAAAAGTGGTTGCAGTCAGATTCAGCCAGACAGTCATGACATATCGGAAAAGCTTTGTACGGCTAATACATCCATGGGGGTAACGAAGCTGACAGGCGTCTCCTTGGATGTAGAACGACTGTCAACTAGATCCTGTCGGCGTTAGCGTTAGCTAACGGAGTTCAAACCGTGTAATCCATAAATGCCTTGTTTGACCTGCAATACCACGAATGGATGAAGTCGGGCAGCGGGATGCTAGCATACTCCTCTACAAGACGGTTACGTGACGGACGTTCATGGATGAGCCGCGCTATCTCGCGGCTGATTTGTTAGTAATAACAGTCACAGCCGTCATCAAGGAGCAAGTGAATTTTTCACCATTCTGCCACAAAGCTGTGATGAGTTTTAACCTTAGCGGGTTCACTGTTGAAAACGAAATGGGGGATTGGTTATCCAGTGGTTTGCAAGGTGCATGGTTACTGTCTAAGCTAAATCTGTTTACAATGTATCACGTTATATTGCGGGAAACCGTCGATTTAAATTGTCTAAGTCTAGCGCATGTTGCTCTTCCACTGGAATCACGCGTATCAATCAAATAGCCACAGTTTCACCGGTGCGCGCTGTTTCGGTCCCAAAACTATTGCGTTTGACTAGCATCCACTCTAAAGTGCGCTTCGCCTTTCATGACTAGTTCTACAAGTAAGTTAAACCTTTACGTACGGAGTTCATATTCTTTCTACCAATGGCCGAGGATGAGCAGCGTAATTATTGAAAAGATTTGAAATACTGGTTTTAAAACAAAAAGTAAAAATACTTCCCAGGAGACTGAGGTTACTGAAGATCGGTTCAACAGTTTATATATATATATATATATATATATATATATATATATATATATATATATATATATATATATATATGTTGCCAAGAACGGAGAGAGTGAAGAATAGCCACTAACACAGAAAGCTAGTGTGCAGAAATACTACGCGAGATTTTTTGAAGCGTTATTCTGATAAAAACTGGGAAGTATTTAAGAACAAAGAGAAGAAGTGTAGCAATGCAATATCTTACAGTTTAGCAGGAACGCGTTTCCACAGAATGCGAATATTTTGCATCATGCCTCAACTGAATGTGAAGGTCCAACTTAATTCATTCATTTTTCTCGTACGGAACTTCCATACAGTGGTTTGCACGGTGCAACCCTAAGATGCGGCAAGCACACCCCAACTGGTGTCACTGTAGTGGACTACAGAGAAGATAAATGGCTTCACGTTAACAGACGTTGTAAAAATGCCGAGGTGAGGACACCGGCCTAGATTTTAACAACCTAAATATGCTCATTGTTGGATCATGGACTGCCGGTTGTGTACCTGCGTTACCCAGGGCACACCAACCCAAAGATTGCATTTCAGGACGAAACCGTCGGTCGTGGAGAGCGATGTTGGGATAGGGCATCTGCGCGTCTCTCCACTTCGGATGCGGTCCAGGTGATCGAAATGGCAGTGGTTTATTTCAAATAAACTGCGGCTTCAATCGAGACTGTGTGCGGCAAACAAGACACAGTGAGTGTTTCAACACACAACAATTAACTTCTAATCGCTGTGTCAAAATTCTCGCGGAGCTCTGGCGTAAGCCCCCAAACAATATATGTCGGGTTCCCATCTCAGCTCAGGCTATCGATATCTAAACATGTGCTTTTAGGTTAGAGACACATTAAGCGAACTTCACTGTTGTTTATGCCCAATAGCTTAACATTGGGAGAAAACAAGATGCGACAGAACCAACTAACGCACTGGTCTACGCACGTGGCAGTTGCGGATCATCTTTTGGAGAGGTAAACCTCGAACGAGCAAGTTAAATCGGCGGCACCCGGGTTCAGATAAAAATACTGAAGAGAAACATCGTAAAGCAAGCACTACGGTTCTCATCTGGAACCGATTTCAAAGCTATATCCGGCTAACAGTGCAGACAACTAATAAACATTGATAACGTTCTTTGCCACTGGTAATGTGAACAATGATCGCATAAATTGAATAGCACTTGCATTTTGAGTTGCACAACAAGTTAATTGTTGAGGCTGTTGAGTCGACTGAATTGGAAATAACAGTGTTTTTAATCTCAAAACAAGAAACTGCGGGTTAAAGTACTAAGCCTAAGGACGACTCAAATGCAGTTCCTAAATTCAGCGGTCACAGTAAGGTGACCTCAAGCTAGACAGTTGAAACGAATTGACCATAATAATGAGCACTCTGCAAGTTTTATAGTGCTACAGTGTAGTGTCGAACGCAGTGAATCGGAGCACAGTCTTCACGTAGCTGTGACTCGCTTACAATGAATCGCTGAAACAGACTTCTTACCTGTGTGCCGTCGGAAATTCATCTCCATGGAGATAAAGTGAGGATAAAAATCCCCGTTGCATTCAGTCTCATTAAGCCGCACGCCCAATGCAGTCTTACGAGAAAGTTGGGACGCATCCAAAGAAGGCCAACGCAATCTACTTTGTGTGGGAAGATTGGAGGAATTTTACCTCATATGAGAAGAGTAAGCGAGATATCAGCACTGAATTGATGACCTTTCATGAACAAGCGTTTGTGATAGGCTGCGATCGTATACCCAAATTTCACCTCAACCGCATGGCAGTGAATCGCTTTACATCGCAATCTAGTGGCATGTCCGCGTTCTCCTGACCTAGTCCAAATACTTGCATCAGGAATAGTAGCATTTGCATTTCTCGGAAAGATGGATAGCGCACTACCGAAGAAACGACGTGTTTAATAGAGTGGTCCAGCGGGTTCCAGTTGATACATTAAAAAGGAACGCTAGGATGAAATGTGCTTACGCGGTTGTCAATTTCGTTGACAGAGTGGCTTGCTAGATGGGATAAGTTTTTAGAACGATGGTTGCTAGCAAACCATGTTAGTGTATTCCTAGGCACATCGTCTCTCGTCCTTTCAATGAGACGCCTTTGAGCATCATCCTCCGGCCGTCTACTGCGATGCCTGGAGAACATATTCGAAGGGAATTGTAAATAATGGTTACAGCATAG